ATTGTTGTTGGGTCATTTATTTGAACACGTTTTGTTGATTTTTTTGTTGTTGTTCTTTAATAAAGTTCTGAACGTTTTAAGCCAATCAGAGGAGGACCTGCTGGTCTCAGCCTCCTGGCGGCGTTCAGTTTGTCACCTAATGCCGAGATCGACTCAAAACCTTCCGCGATCGACGTTTTGCACCGCTGGTCTAGCAAAGCACGAACAGATCAGAAACAAAATGGAATGGGAAAAAAATTATTTATTAACTGATTAAGTCGTGTTTTAGATTGTTCTTGAGAAACGAGTCAGTCACGGCTGCACAGTGAACCCGTTGATTCTTTACAGCAGACAGCCTCTCCCCTCTCTTGCTGGTACTGCGTCTCCCCGCTAAATCTTTTGGGGGTGCAGTACCCTGCCGTACCCCCCTACTTTCACCCCTGTTTCTACGTTATTAAACCTGTGGACAAAGAGAACTGTCTTCAGAGTCTTAATGGAAGAAAACTGTTGAACCTTGCTGCCGGTCCTCTTCTTGGTGAAGTGGGAAAGACAGTACAGTAACACTACATTAAACTCAGTTTTCTTAAATTACTTCATACGTTATCATAACCATGTTCACAGGCCATGGTAGTTTAGATGTTTAAACATTTTGTGCTTTGCTGGAGCTGACAGGAAAATGAAGACGAGATCTAAACTTCACATATTTACAAGTGGAATGTGAATGGATCTGAATCGGTTTATGAACTGATCGGTTATCTGACTGAGGTGTTTTTGCTGGTTTTGTTTCTTACCCTCGGACACAGTGAGCCGCAGTCAGCACCCACTGGCTGTTGATCAGAGATCCTCCACAGAAGTGGCTGGAGGAGCGGTGCAGACTGACCTGCCAGGGCCAGCTGCCTGCAGGAGCTGCCTGTCCTCCAACAATCCTGGTGTTGAGTGAAGGGGAAGGTTGACCACAAACTGAAAAATAGAGATTCAACATTCACTCTGCTCTGTCATCATCCAATCACAGCAAGTCTGTCCCAACAGCAACTGCAGGAAAACTGATTTCATGTGTGAAGTTTTAGAGATTTGACCTACCGGAGAGCTGTGAGTCACAGTCTGAAAAATGGGGAGAAAAAAACATATTTTCATAAATCTTTAAAATACATTTCTTTGATGTGTTTTCCTGTTTCAGTTCTTTACTAAACAGTAGCCATAGCTCCTGATTAAGGGACACAAATGCAGCTACTTCATAATAATTAATGAATTTTTAGAAGATTTTGAAACAAAAGCAGCAGATTTCAGCTTCCTGGGTTGTGTTGCTTGTCCTGGGCTCATCCCTAGCGGTGGATGGATAATATGTATAAATGTTCTGTGACGATACAACAGTGAACTTCAACATATTTCATTGAGATTTTACATGATGACCCAACACAAAGCTGTGTTTACAGTTAATATTAGACAGCTGTGCAATGCATGTAAATTCAACCTCATTAACTATGATGCCCCTAAATAAAATCCTATGAAACCAGTTGCCTCCACACGTAACTAGTTAATAGGTTTTACCTGTAAGTAATTTAATCATGATGTTCAGTTGAAATATTCTCTTTAAGAGTATTACATATTCATCATCATACTGGCATTCCCAGTCGGTTCAGGAAAGAAACAGGTTCTGTTTGTTCTGTCTTGTAGGGGAACCTACGGGTCAGGTGGAGATGCTGGCTAGAGCTGCTGTCGGTTCTGAATGCAGTAAAGGTCACTCAGCCAGGAAGAAGCCAGTGCTCTAAAGCAACTTAAAAAGCCAGATCACAGTTTGCAAATCAGAATTTAGTTTTGTTATTGTTCATGTTTCCAGACTCTTTCTGTCCTCCAGGTGTGTAAAAGTCTGACATTTTCCCAAAACAATTTCTGAAGAAAGTGAAATAACTCAGACTGATCATTTGTAACAGTTGATAAAATGGACCTGAAAGCCTCCTATTGTCCACTGTAATGTTTTGTTCTGTCAATCATCAATTGGCCAAGTTAATGTTTAGAAACAAAGTTAATATTTTTGAGATTACACAATTCTAAAGGTAAAACATCACTGAGTTTTTCTCAACAGTAGCAATCACTGCAAGTCGCTTTAATCACTCTGTCCTGAACCAACGTTATATCTTCTGTAATGCCCAACAAACAAATAATTTTGTTTTTCTAAACTGGTCGTGTTCAACCGGATTTGTAACTTGACACACATCATGAGTTGTTCTGAAACCTCAGCAGTTTCCTGTTCTACCAGTTTATTTCTGTTCCTGATTCACATAAATAAAAGTAAAAAGATTAATATGTTTTAAAAGAAAAGACTTTAAAAAAGCAGACAAGGTGAAACTCTTTGGTCAGTTTACTTATCATATAGCAGCATTTTTACTCAGTAAATAATATACTCAGTAATGACACCTGTTATCCAGGAGGAACTCTAGTGAGTGTGAAAATAATATGCCTCGGGCGTTGTTAGGATGTCTTAGTTTACGGTCTTACATTGACCTTGTGAACTGAATAAAAACTTCTCCTCTCTTATTCATGCAAAAAACAAAAAAGCTTAACGGTGCAGGTTCTTTGAAAGCATTTTTAAAGAGCCTGCTGTATCAGGTGCTGCAGATATCCACAGAAAAATAACTATTTATGTGTTAGATTAGAGTAAAACATCTCCAAATAATTTAGACATTAAAGCATCTTTCAGACTTCAGATGGCTGTAGAAGATCGCTTCAGTTAGTTGTTTGAAAATCGGTTTGCTATTTCTAACCTTATATATTTTTTCCTAATACTGCAAATTTGCCCTCACTATACAGTCTTTCAGCTTATTAATTTTTGTGATGTTATTACCTTGTTTGAATCACCATGCCTTAATTTGTCTACAACTTTGCTGCTGTCACATCTGATAATAAAGGACATTTCTGTTCAGTTTTTCTAGTCTGCATTCTTACCTTTGACCAGCAGGATCAGCAGAGCCGCCACACAGATCAGCTTGTTGAAGGCCATCACTGCTGATTGTCTGCAGCTGAGCTGCTCTTGTTTATATAACCAACATACAACTTTTTACTGACACCCACAATGAGTCAGCTGCTTAGCAACAACTCACCTGGTATTCAGCATATGCAGGAAGTGGACCGGCGTCGCATGCGGGTGTTTTTATGAGCATCAATTTGTGGAAAAAATTATCTTAATAAAACGTACAGATGAATGTTAATGCTATAGTGAAAAACAGATCAGTTTTCTATTTATTGCAGGTTCTATATTGTGCCAAGTTCCAGTATAAAAATCAAGAAGGATCGGTCCTTCTTGACAAAGTTATGCAGGAACTTTGCCAACATATGGGTGTGTCTGTCTTCTAAAAACTGAAGAATTAAATCAACATAAACCAATCTAATCCGGTTACATTAGATTCCATTGTGTTGATTTACTTTGATATTTAATCATAATTCAGTAAGTCACATTTATTTAAGCACACTTTAGCAACAAGGCATTTCAAAGTGCTTCACATGAAAATAA